AAAACTAGAAGTCTTGCCTTTTTAGTAATATAAATCTCTTCTAATCTCCTCTTGGCATTCCATTTTGGTTGAAGCCAAAAATGTAAGTAGACAAGCACGAGGAGAAGTAATGAATCCTCCTTTCACTCCCCTAGTTCTGTTGTCACATACAGAAGAGGAAACAACTCAAATGGAAACATGAAATTCCCAAATATTACTAAATGTTTCATCTTTCAAAACAGAAATTATGATGAGTATGTTCTTGTTCTTGGTTTGACACTCTTTTGAAAACTTACTTGTCCACTCCAAATAAAATCTTATGCAGTTTCCACGTGGGGCACAGGAACCTAAAACCTTATTTAGGTATGTGAATTGATGGCACAGAACAGAAGCTTCAGGAAATAAATCAAAGAGTCGGAAGAGAATAATGAGGGAGCTCGTGCATATCACTGCACTTACGGAGTTCATTTTAGAAGCTACTGTTGCTTTCCACTCTGTGGTCTTCCTGAAAATCCTTTCCATTCTTACCTTTTATAGCCCTTGTAGCTGAGTTTTCACTAAATAAAATCTTCAGAACAAGAGTTCTGTCCATTTCCATTGTGCCACAGCTTATCCAGGTTCTCCACCTCATGACCTGCAGACGGAACCGCTTCCTGTCCCTTTCAAATTCTACCTGGCCTGGTGCGATCAGGTCATCTTCCCAACTCTGGTGCCTTTCATCCTCACCCCTCTGTCTATTCCAGAACCATGCCATCCATCAGCCCAATGCCAGTTAGATCAGGTGGGCTTTGCCTTTTCATATAGTGCCACAACTTGACATGGATGGGTTCTCTTGTGCCATAATGCCTTCATAAGTTGCTGTCTCAGGGACAGCAAGGCAGAATCTAGTAACATCCCACTTAAAACTACTTACAACTACTTACCAACTCCTACTTTGGTAAGTAGTTATAAATGAACAGAATGATGAAATGCCAAGCAATGTGATAATGATCATTAACAAATACTAAGCATTTATTTAAAGCCAAATACTGTTCTAATACAGCCAAATAGCTATAAAGTTAGTACGACTTTTTCCTCTTTTTTTTGGCTGCATGGCATATGAGATCTTAGTTCCCTGACCAGGGATCGGACCTGCACCCCCCTGTATTGTAAGTGTGGAGTCTTAACCACTGGACTGCCAGGGAAGTCCTCATCCCAGTATGACTTTTTATCTCTAGTTTACAGATGAGGAAACTGAGACAGAGAGAGAAATTGATTTACCCAAGACAGCACAGCTAACTAGCAGTGGAAATGGGATCTGGACTCAGGCAATCTGGCTCTGAATTCAAACCTCATGACCAGCGTGTTGTATCATACAAGTGTGTGCTATTGATGGGTAATTGGCATGCCAGTGTTGCCAGCACTGGGGTACTGCAATTTGTCACCACTGTAATCTATCATGACCACGATCTCTCATCACTCTAATTCTTCACCACTGCTTCTTGGTTTAGGCACCACCGCTAAGCCTGCCATTTAAGGGCTTCTGCCCTCTGTGCTGGCCAGCTTTTTTTACCACGTCCCCAGCCAGCTGACATATTTACTTTTATGACCAGGCCCTGGTTCAAGCTCCCCAAACATCCAGGCCTATTGACAACCTCTCCAGCCCTACAAAGTTCCCTTCAAATCCTTGCTCTTCTCAGAAGCTATCCATGAGACAGCAGGAAACATTTCTTTCTCTCCTCCAAAGTTCATGTGGATTTATGGTCTGGAGCACTGGTCGCCTTCTCTGTCAACACAGAGCCCCCTTTGGAATGTAACAAATCACCTAACCTCAACTCTCTGGATGACAGGAAATATGTAGTATCTACAGGGGCAGCTCTCAGCTGGCAGTTCTTAGCCCGGCCACTTGGGAGAGAATCACATGGGAGCTTTGAAAATCCCGGTGTCCAGACTGCACCCCAGAATAAATGAATCCAAATCTCTAGGGGGGGCACCCGGATGGAGTTCAGGTTCAAGCACTTCAGGTTCCCTGGGTGATCTGAATGGGGAGACAAGGCTAAGAACCAGGGGCCCAGCACATACCATTTGTCCCTTGGAGGCCTACTTCAACAAACCTGCAAGCTCTTAAAGATGTGAGCTTTTATAAATAGGATGGATAAACAAGGTCCTACTGTAGAGCACAGGGAACTATACTCAGTATCTTGTGATAAACCATGTTGGAAAAGAATCTAAAAAATGAATGTATATATATGTATATACATATACATGTACATATGTGTGTGTGTACAACAGAATCACTTTGTGGTATGGCAGAAATTAACACAATGTTGTAAATCAAAGATACTTCAATTAAAAGAAATGAAAAAAAAATTGCCTTGAGATTTTAAGCTTTTGCTCCTCAAAGTGTGGACCATGGCCCAGTCACATCACAGTACCATCTGAGGGTCTGTTACAAATGCAGTTTCTCAGGCTCCCTCCCCAGACATACTGATTCAGAGAGTCTTTTAACGAACTCCTGGTGATCCGATGCACAGTGAAGTGGAGAAGCGTGCTTTAAAGCCTGCAGAGACTATCTACACCTCGAGGGTTAGGACTATCAAGCCTCAAACGACCATTAAAAATCCATATTTCTTTGTTAACGTATGTGTTTTCATTTCCTGGCAGCATTACCATCCTTCTGAGCTGCTGTTTGACCTGTATCCAGAGAGAGAAACCACTCACTTTTCCTCCTTACTTAGCCAGTCTTCTCCCAAAGATTTCTGTTCCATGGCGCTCGTCTCTGATATCTTCAATGCTCCTGTGAGCTCACCTCCCTTTCCTTGAAGCCCTGTCACTCACCTAACATCTTGGAATGGGGTCAGCTTGCAATTCTTGTTCCTATGGGGACAGGCAAGAGAAGAGGCTAAACCACTCTACAGCTTGGGATGGGCTTTAATATGATTCCTCCTTTTCCTAAGAGTAGAGAAAGAAAGGCCCATTTATTGGCATTTATATGCAAAGAGTGTACTTGAAAACCACACAGAAATAACTTCTGTCACCTATTCTTCAACGTATAATATTCATGTAGTTTTAAATGCCATGTAAAAGCAAGTCAAAAATCAGTGTTTTTTTTTTAGGTATGTGTTTTCTAGCTTTCCCACAGAGAAGTGGTTTAAAGGCAACTTGACGGGATTCACTGAGAGAAGGCCACAATGTCTGTTCTCTTGCACAGGGGAAGGAAATAAGTAAGTTCCTTTAAATTCTGGTAGCACAGGATCTACTGTGAAGAAAAGCCCTGTGTTAGTTTAAATTGGAGTCTACACCTTGATGATAGCTAGGTATCTCGGGAAATTTTAAGAAAGCCTAAATATGATATGAAAAGCAAGATCATGAAATGCTAGCCCATGTATATCATTTGAATTAATTTTTATTCTCTCCTGGCTCTTAGGGCTTGAATTTAGGCAGAATGTCTTCCTGGAAGCAGAAATTATCTTGATAATGATTGGCACAGAAATGGATTTTAAAAAGTGCTCTTGAAAGGATGATCCACTTAAAAATTCTTCCCTGCTCTACAAGACATAGAGTGAAACTGAACTGAGCAGGGTAATTAACGTAATGACCCAGGAAAGAAGGAGGCCTGAACAATGCGCAATTTCTTTCCACCAAGTTTCTGTAAAGAACATAATTTTTAAATATTTGAAATAGTTTTAAATGAAAATTAGTACATCAAATCTAACATCAGTATAAAAGAACAATTTAATGCATGTCCAGTTTTCCAAGATACCACTGAATAAGACAGACCATTACAGTATTTATGTATGATTAAGAGAGAAAATGCTATGACTTAACTGAAGACATGTCAGTGATTGTAAGATTAATCTCAAACTTATGGATACCAAGGAGGGGAAAGGGTGGGATGGATTGGGAGATTGGAACTGACATATATACACACTACTATGTCTAAAATAGATAACAAATGAGAACCTCCTATATAGCACAGGGAACGCTACTCAATATTCTATAATGACCTACACGGGAAAAGAGTCTGAAAAAGAGGGGATCTGTGTATACGTATAACTGATTCACTGTGCAGTACACCTGAAACTAACACAACATTGTAAAGCAACTATACTCCAATAAAAAATTAACAAAAAAAGATTAATCTTAATTTCAGAGATCATAAAACCTGGGGGAAAATGTGTCTTAGAAGGGTTGAAATTCGGTAGATTAAAAAGCACAGCATAAATGATACTTTCACGAAGGATCACAACTTTCCCTGTCACAAATTTAGGGTTTGGTGCCTTGATGGCAACATCACTCCTGGTTCATGATGCAATTTTGTCCCCTTAACTGGCTTTGTTAAATGTTCGGCACCCTCCATACACTCTGCCTCTATAGCAAATGGTGAAGAGCAATCATAAAATCTAACCAGCAGGAATATTTCAGAGCTTCTCCTCTGGGGGAAAAAATGGTGGCAAACCATAGCCTACAGCAAGGCTTGTTTTTTCCTCATTGCAAACATGGGGGCCTGTGGAGATCAGTGTGTGTTTCTGTCAAAACGATGCTAGCTGTAAAGAGTGGGCAAGTCGAGAAGGTGAGCATATCTCATTTCAAATGGCCACCTAGGCCTTGGCTGAGGCCTGTCCTGTGGTTTGGTGATGCACCTGTCCCTCTGGTAAGTTACACAGGTAAGATGCATCCAGGTGCATCATTGGGGGCTGCTAAGCACAGTTTTAAGGATTGTATAAGTGGAATCACTGATGCATATCACTGTCAGTTCCTGCGCTTCCTGCCAGTGTGATTTAGTGGCTTTTTTTTTTCTGGTAAACACAGTCTCAAGGGGCTGGAAAAAGACAAAAAATGAAACAGAAAATCCCCAAAGGCAGTTTCTAATTTGACAAGTGAGTTTTCTTTTTAGGGGGACAGATCAGATTTGCTGGGAAGTCACCAAAATTCCACTCAAGTCACCCTGCGTGGAGTTATGTAAACTTTTCTAATTCTTTGGAAATGGAAACAGACATCCCCGAGATGATTTAAGAAGATGGAAAAATGAGCATACTCACGAAGACTGGGAGGCCTTCCTTCTGAGTAGATAGTCCACCACATCCGGATCGGTCTCTAACAGGCTGATCAGCACTTCATTCTGCAGATCCGGGGGAACCTGCATGGACCAAGTGTTGAGGCATAAATAAAACCGCTCTAGCAAGAGGCAAACTGTGGTCACTGGCAGTCTGAAAATAGTGTCTAAAAGGATGCCTCAGAAGTTATCTACAGTCCATGAGGTCACACAGACAACAAAAGTTATAAGAGAACAGAGGGATTTGTTGGTTAAGACCAAATCTACACCAACCCATGCAGCCAGTTTCATTCTTAGAACAAATTGGATGATTACCAAAGAGTCATACTCACTGGGCTTCCCTGGTCACTCAGACAGTAAAGAATTTGCCTGCAATGCAGGAGACTCAGGTTAAATCCCAGTGTTGGGAAGATCCATTGGAGAAGGGAATGGCAGCCCACTCCAATATTCTCACCTGGAGAATTCCATGGAGAGAGGTACAGTCCAGGGGGTTAGAAACAGTTGGACATGACTGAGTAAATAACACTTTCACTTCACTTTCATATTCACTACTCAATTCAATTCAAGTAGGGTGAACTGTCACTCCACTCATGACTGGAGATAGAGCCTAAAACCACTTGGAAACCTCTGTTGCTTGGATTCGATTTTCTTGACTTTGAATGAGCAAAATACCGTGGTTAAGAGTAATGGTGTTCATAACTTCTTGTCCAAATGGGGACACTTTCTAGAGTTCATATTTATAACTAAGCCCAGGTAACAGGCAGAAATGAGGACTGTCTTGGGCGGTTCTGGAACATATGATTAGTTTACTGCTAAAGGCTGTTTGTGTTTGAGTTCCAGTATATGGCTGTGGGGCTTTGGGCAATGGGTCTAACCTTTCCAGGTCTCAGGCTCTCATCTGGAAACAGTAAGAGGACTCACCACAAAGGGCTGATTGATGTGGTGATGCAAAGGACTTATTACATGTTGAGAACTTAGAACAGCACCTGGCAGATAGCAGACACTCCAAAAATGCTGCTACTACATTTGCAGATGTCAGCTTGTCATTCAATGCCTGCCTTCACTTGTTTCTTGCATCCTGGTCTATCAACAATTAAGAGTTTTTTGCTTCACAATGGGATGAGGCATGCTCTAGAATTTTATAGATGAGCATCATGTGTCTCCCTAAGCTTAACCCTCAGGGCATGAGAGGATAGCCTTCCAATCCTAAATCACTCGTGTAGGACTTTTCTAGAAAAAAGGATTGAACTCAGCTCCAGTGGTTTTCTACTCTGTAGATGCTCAACCAAAGGAAATTTCAACTATTGAGGGAAAATACATTTTCATTCTGATTCTCTCACATGTGGGCTCGGAGACAAGACTCTGAAAAATTGTGGGGACAAGTCTTCTGAGAGTAAGTGGTTGGTGGAAGAATTTGCCTCCTGCCTCTTGCAGAACTCAATTCATCTTGAGCTCTAAGAAGCTGGAAACAATTTTATTAAGAAGAACAGGGATGAGAAAGCAACAAAATGCTTTCCTCTTCTCATAAATCTGTTCTTCCTACTTCATTCTGAATCTTCATTAATGACATTGCCAAACCCTAGTCACACAGGCTAAAAAGCTGGATTGTATTCAAGCTTCTCTGTGTCCTTTCCCCTCTACATTCAGAGCCAGGAAACCCACTTGATTTCATCTCCAAGATGCCTGTTACTTCTTCCCTCTCTTTTCCATTCCAGCTGCAATGATCCAAGTTTGAGCCCTCATTATCCCTTTGGAGTGCTCATCTGTTGCCCATTACCAGCTTTCATTTCCCTAACAGACATACTGCAAGTTCCCTCTGGAAAACTAACTGCTCCCCAACCTTCAGCTTGAGGGTGAGGTGTACCCTCGACTAAATCAATGATTCTTTCATTCCCAGACTGAAGCATGGGTGCTTGAGTGATGAGCATGCGATTTCATTAGAAGCAATGAAAAGCTGTAAGAACTTCCCAGGGACTTTGGAGAGACAGGATACAGTGCAGACAACTGAAGAAACAATTCCAAGAAGTGGAGAGAAAGAAAAGGGGTCTTGACATCATTTAGAGTCCCAGGTAAAGCCATGCCTGAAGCCACATTTGCTCTTGGATTGTTCAGCTGTGTGAGCCCCAAATTCCTTAAGCTGGTCTGAGCTTTTAATTGAAAACAAAGATCCATCCTTGATGGGCCTTTGATACAACAGCTTGCTAACCTGTTGTTCAGTCGCTCAGTCACGTCTGACTCTTTGACCCCACGGGCTGCAGCACATCAGGCTTCCCTGTCCTTCACTGTCTCCCGGAGCTTGCTCAAACTCATGTCCATCGAGTCAGTGGTGCCATCCAACCAACTCATCCTCAGTTGCTCCCTTCTCCTCCTGCCTTCAATCTTGCCCAGTATGAGTCTTTTCCAATGAGTCGGCTCTTCGCATCAAGTGGCCAGAATACTGGAGCTTCAGTTTCTAACTTGTGTGCTCTCTATCTCCCTTAATACGTACATCAAATTTCTTCTCTGCCTGATTGTCACAATGCTCTGATCAAGACACTTGACCAAAACCCTTTTTAATCAAAGCCATCCGCTCACTTGTTTGCCTCAATTTGTTTCCCATCTTTGCCCCTAGCAGTCATACCCACACATTCTATTTCAGTACCATTGTGCTTCTCATTCTGACCTTTTCCCACCTCATCCCTTTAATTTATTACATAAATATTTGGTGAATGCTTCCCAAGTGCCAGGCACTGGATTCTGGGATTCAGTAACAAACCAAACAGACAAGAATTCATGTCTCCTTGAAGCTGACAGTAAATATGGGAAGACTGGCACTAAAGAAATAAGCAGAAACATAGCAAGAATCACTTGGACAAAGATAAAGCCAAGACAGGGAACAAAGAATCCTGGGTGGGAGCATGCCATTTAAATGGAATTGTCAGAGAAACTGACATTTTAGCAGAGAACGGAAAGGAGGAAGGAATTGGAGAAAATCATTCCAAGGAGAAGGGAGAAAGAAATAGCAAGATGTTGAGTCAGGAGCAGTGAGGAGGCCAGGGAAGTTGGAACAGAGTGAGAGGAAGAAGGCGAGTGGTAGGAAGTAGGTCAGGTAACCAAGGCCAGATGTTGCAGAGTCTTATAATTTCTGTTCTCAATCTAAGTAGGCAGGGAGCCTCTGGAAGTTCTGAGCAGAATATGAACACAACTTGTCATCACTCTGGCTACCGAGTTGCTAGGAGATTGCAAAGAAGCAAGGGGTGAAGCTGGGAGCGCAGATGGGGGATTGTGGATACATCCAGAAGAGAGATAAGGGAGGGTCGAGCCAGCATGGTGAGTGGATGAGAAATACTTGGATCCTGGAGACAGTGAAAGTAGAAACCACAGCAGCAGCTAATCGACTGGGTGGAGAGAGAGAAGGAAGAGGAGAAGGAGCAGGGGATGAAGGAGAAGAGAGGCTGACGTCAATGTCCCCAGGAAGAACGGGCTTGCTGTTAACTGATACAGAGAAGCTGCAGGACCAGGAGGAGGCTGGGGGTAGAGCCTAGGGCTGTGGCTTCCCTAGAGGCTCAGACAGCAAAGAATCTGCCTGCAATGCAGGAGACCCAGGTTGGCTCCCTAGGTGGGGCTTATCCCTGGAGAAGGGAATGGCAACCCACTCCAGTATTCTTGCCTGGAAAATCCCATGGACAGAGGAGCCTGGTGGGCTACAGTCCATGGGGTCGCAAAGAGTCAGACACGACTGAGTGACTAGCACTTTCACTTCACTTTGGTGTAAGAGTGAGAGGCCTGTGAGACATCCAAATGAAGGAAAGCTCTAGTAAGTGATCAGGAATAAGGATCTGGGGTTCAGGAAGAGTCCTGGGTTGAACATAGAAATTTGGGGGACACACATATAGAGAGTACTTAAAGCTCGATGATCAAGTGCAATGGCCTAGGCATGAGAATGGAAGGAGAGGAGAGGAGCAGGACTTTTAGGGCCAGAATGGGAGTATCTGTTCTCTTACTTTATTGAATACATTAAATCAATTAAAAGACTGACAATGTTTACAAACAACATGACCCAACAGATATACATGATTCCATCAGTTTTTCCAGAAGTAAAATTCAAAGGGTGAAAATGAGAAGAGAGAGAACTCATTTTAAAAAAAATGAACTGCAAAGCAAAAAATAGTATAGGCCAACAATGTATACAATACATTTTTTTTTAAAAAAAGAAACTTTCATGAGCAAATTAGGAAAACTATCTGTATTTTTGTCCAGTTAGTTTAATTTAAAATTTCCTATGCTTAGACATGTAATGAAAAATTTTGCTCCAAGCGCCAAATCCATTCCCACTAAGAATAAACAACTGGAGTGGATGGCCTCCGGAGTGGTGCAAACATCACAATATCAGTTCTCTGATCAACTCAGATTCATCATTAGAATAGCTTACAGGAAGGATCATTATTTGAAAATAACTTTGCATAAATTTTCAAAAACCATTCTGCAATTCAGAGTTTTACTCATTCAACTAGGCTTAATTCCTAACAAATTACAATTATTGACATTTATTTTCTGTAGCATATGTGACCTTTACTTACTAGCCAATGCAAATAGAAAGGGTTGGTGCTATAACCCTATCTACAGTTCCTTTCTAAAAGACTCTTGGTACTATTTTGCGTTGGAGACACTATTTACAAATGACTGGGTAAATAGCTTAAATATGTATGGATCTGTGTATTGTAGGAAGGGTAGGTACTATTTTCCTATGTATTACACAAGACTGACTACAGTGTATAATACATAATCCATTATTTTAATTAGTTTATTCATAGCCCAGCTTGTTACAAAATGATTTAAAGCAGCTTTCAAAATTCACATGATAAAACCACGTTTGTTTAAAAAATAAAGGAATAGTTCAGAAAATTGGAGCCAGTGGGAAAATGAAAGTAGAGAATTTGAAATGATGCCTAGAACTGACTTTTAATATTCATACAACAGCATCCAGTGCTGTTTTCCCAATAATTCCTCTTATCTGTGTCCACATTTGCACATTTCATTTCCTACTATTTAATAAAAATTTTGAATTACTGGCTCAGTTCAATAGGATGAGTATTCATTTTCTA